TCCTTCCGAGGAGTGGCTGGTGGGTTTGAACCGCCAGCCGTCTGGTTAGCAGGCAAGTGTCTTAGCCACTATGCTACCAGAGCTCTAGAGAACCACTAGATACAGAAAATACTAAGCCATCTCATTACTTAGCCACCTCTTAGCTTTCTTCCCTAGAAAATGAGAACAGAGTAAATAAACAAATTACTTGTTTTGAGATTTTTTGGCTTGACAGAGTTTATGCTTGGATTTACAAATCCCAAATCAAGTTAAAGGAATTGGCAGTTTGTAAACCAAAAACAGTCAGATCCATGTGTTTGTGAGGTTGTTCTCCCTTGATCCAGGAAGCTCCAGTAGACCTTCTTCTACACTGATTTGCAGACTGTGCACCTTACCTTATGATGTCTTGTGATATAAGATGGTGAGCACAAGGGCCACTGAGTTTTGGCCATATTGGTGCCCAAAGCTGGTGCTCAAAACTCTTGTCACTTAAAAGTTTATTCTGACACACTGTTAATTACAACATAAATGCACATACACTCTGGGATTTGGCCAGTAAAGCTGGACTGAAAAATGTCCATCTATTTAGAGTGAGAAAAACAGACTCAAGAGGCTAAGTGACCCAAGATCAGAGAAAATGTATGCATGGTTTCAGGGATTATAGATCTAGGGTACATCAGGCAGAGCTAGCTTGATAGATCTGACCATACCTGGGCAAATCCAGGCAATGGAGATAGGTGGTTATAGGAAGCACAGTCCAGAGCAAGGGAAGAGGATTTGCTGGGGTTCTGGGGATCCAGACACAGCCTTGGGTTTGTGTCTATTTCCTTGAGGGCCTAACATGAAAGGGAAGGTTGGGATGAGCTCTTTCAGGGCTATCTGGTTACCTAGAGCTCACACAAGGAAACTATCTGTTTGATACCCAACAGAATTAGATGATGGGTAAAGAGGGTCCATGTATCCACCAATCATGTGTGCCAGATCTGAGAAGAAAGGCAGGGGAGGAGTTGGTGCCAGCAATTAGAGATGGGAAAGGCCACTGGGGTTGGTACCATTACTGTCAGTCCTGTGGCTCTATCTTCTGACTGCCTTCTGGCCAGAGCTGACAAGGCTGGATGAACTTCAAGAAATTAAGTTATAGGATGTGAATAAAAGCAGACACAATGCCCATCCTATGACCTTCTCTGTAAGAATCCCTGAGACCACTTTGATTATGCATGTTTTCTCTCCTGTAGTCCAGCACAACATTCAGAGGATAGTGCGGACTCTCTGGCAGCAACTTGTGGCACAGAGACGGCAGGCACTGGAGGATGCCTTCAAGATTGATCTCTCCGTGAAAACTGGAGAGAGTGAAGTGAAGATTGAAGAAGTCACCCCACTCTGGGAGGAGACCATGCTCAAGGCTTGGCAGAATTACTTAGGTCTCTATCTACTTGGATCTAGGGAATAGCAACTCTTGGTTCTTATAAAGCCAGAGTTCCAAGACTCCACTCAGGGCCTCAAGACTTTCTCTACCCAGACTCTCTGTCTTAACCTTTCTGTGGGTGGGATTTGCATCGCTGCCACTTATCTTTTCTCACAAACAGCAAATGCTGCTTTGCATCTGGAATGAAAGGAAGGCTTGAGGTGCCACCAAGCAATCAGATTCTAGGAATCTCTTAGACAGAAGGACCACTATATGCAGAGCTCTAGCTCAGGTACTAGAGCTTGGAGTCCTAGTCCCCACCCTGGTATTCACCTACCAGCTTTGCAACTTTGTACCACATCATGCAGTGACCCTGAACCTAAGTTTCCTTATCTCTCAAGTGAAAGTTTTCATCCCACAGATATTAATGTCATTTGCATGCTATCAGTGGCTTAACATTTCCACCCTCATATTAGGCAATTGCAGGAATTGCAGTTGCAGGAATGAGATTTTAATTTTGTTTTGAGGATGTCATTGCTGTCTAAATTATGGCTTATATACTCATTTTTAAGTCTTTTAGCATAACAAAATCCATAGTGGTTCAAGAAGGAGTTATCTCCATGTCCATTGTGCCGCATCCAGTGTGCAGAAGCTTTATTTAATAGGCTTTTCAAATTAGGTGCAGCAGAGATGTTCATACATAATTGTATAAATACATATATGTATAATTTGAAGTTAAAATATCACCTTCTATTTCATGGGAAAATACAATTAAATAGGACGTATTTACCCATGTACATGTTGTTGTTGTGTTGTTAGGTGCCATCGAGTCAGCTCCGACCCATTGTGACCCTATGTACAACAGAATCAAACATTGCCTGGTCACACACCATCCTTACAATGCTTGTTATACTTGAGATATTTGCAGCTGTTCTTCCCATTTTGAATCATGCTCCATCAGCAAATGTAAATCCCAAAAACTTTACTCCATCCATCTCATTAAGGTTGACTCTACTTTGAGGAGGCAGCTCTTCCCCAGTCTTATTTTGAGTGCCTTCTAATCTGTGGGGCTCATCTTCCAGCACTATATCAGACAATGTTTCAGGGATATTCATAAAGTTTCCCAGTATTATATCAAACAGTGTTTCTCTGACATTCATGAAGTTTTCACTGGCCAATTCTTTGAGAAGTGGATGTCCCTTTCCTTCTTCCTGGTCTATCTTAGTCTAGAAGCTCCACTGAAACCTACCCACCGTGGGTGACCCTCCTGGCATTTGATGTAATGGTGACATAACCTCCAGCCTCACAGCAACACACAAGCCACCACACTATGACAAATTGACAGACAAGAGGTGGCACATAGAGTGGAATAAACTGGTTTAAGATGCATATCAAAGCCTACAAGTTGCTCTCCTTTTGTCAGCAATCATGAATATTGAACACTTTCTATATTCCATGCTCTGGGCATTGAACACATAGTCTTATGTATCTTCATGATATCTAAGTAAGGTTGCACACTATCAAGCCCATTTTACAGAATAAGAAAGCTAAGGCTCAAGAACTTTAGTTAACTTGTCTAATATTTTGCTGCTAATAAACAAACCTCAGAACTTGGGTTTTAATCCACGTCTGGGCCGTTTCAAAGTTCTCACTACATTTCTTAGTCCAGGGAGCTTCAGAACATGACAGTACCATCTTGTGGCCTGGGCTGTCTCCTTTGTTGGAGGTAGAAATGCTTGGCTCATGCCCCTGGCTGGCCCTTTGTATGTCCTCCTCTTTCCTTCACCTCCTGACATTCTTTCCTTCTCCTTCCCCCAGCATCTGAGAAGAAGATGCTGGCCAGTCGCTCAAATGTCACCCACCACAGCAAAGTTACTTCGTGGAGTGGGAGCCTGTCTTCAGCCATGAGACTGATGCCCAGCCGGCTGACCAAGGACCCTGAGTGCAAGGCAGAGGTGAGCCAAGATTCTTCCCATAGAGAAGCATTAGACATCAGCTTCAGCCTCATGAGTCACATCTCCTGTCTGCTGCCACTGGATGTGATCTAATTCCATGCTTTTTTGAGTGTTGAAGGGTACCCATGTGGGTTCTCAATTGAGGCTACATCCCAGGAAGCCACCAGGTCTTAGCCTAGCTTTAATTGAAGTGAATATAAAAAGCAAACAAACAAACCAGTTGTTACCAAGTCGATTTCAACTCATGGCAACCCCAGGTGTGTTAGAGTAGAACTGTGTTACATAAGGTGTTTAATTGCTGGTCTTTCAGAAGTAGATTTCTAGGTCTTTTTCACAAGGTACCTCTGGGCAGACTTGAACTGCAAACCTTTCAGTAAATAGCCAAGTACTTAACTGTTTGAACCACAGGGACCTCGAAGTGAAAATGGGTACTGTTAGGATCAGGGAATATTTGAAAAAAAGAAAAAAAAAAAAAAAAAAAAGAAAGAAATTTTTGTTCCTAATCTCCTTTTGAGTCACTGTGTTCAGCTACCACTAGTGCAATGCTTCCTGGGTGTGTGGGCCCAGCAAGGGGAGGCAAAAACAGTAGGACCATTTCCAGGAGATAAAGTGTAGTGTTGGGCCTTTTAGACCATGTGGGGCCTAAATCTGTGGATTTTCTCTTCCATTTATCTACAACTACATAATGAGTCACCCTAAAACTGCCTGGGCCAAATAATGATTTTTTGTGATTGTGGATTCTATGAAGTTTGTATGGCTTGTCTTGGCCCCATATTATCTGGACCTCAGCTGGAAGACTCAGTGGCAGGGGGCTGGAATCACCTGAGGGCTCATTCACTCACACATATGGTGGTTGATGTGGGTGGTGTGAGGCCTTAGCAGAAGTTGTCAGGTGGGATGCCTACAACATGGTGGCTGGGTCTCAAGGACTATTGTCCTGAGACCAAGAGCCATATTGCCCTTTATGACCTAGCTTCAGAAGTCATACAGCATCATTCCTACCATATTTCACTTGTCAAGACAGACTCAAAGTTCTGTTCAAGTTCAAGAGTAGGGGAACTCTACCTACTGATGGGGGAATGGAAATGTTCTGGAAGAGCATGGGACTGGAACTATTGCTGTGGCTGTTTATGGAACTCATATTCTGCCAAATGTCCTAATATTGGAGTCACTGACTTATATTCAAAGGCAGACTGGTTATTGAGCAGACATGGTCAATAGAGTGAGCAGAACTTGAGCAAGATTGACACTGTCTTTTGGGAAGGGAGGCTGCTGAATTGAGGTCTCATTCATTCATTCAAGATATGTTTACTGAGTGATTACTCTGTACCCTATTCTAAGTATGAGGTTACAGCCAAGAACAAATCTGACATATCCTCTGCTCTCTTGGATACTGCATTCTCAAGGGTGAAAAATACAATAAATATAAATAAATTCACAGTGTTGGGTAGTGATAATTGCAAAGGAGAAAAAGCAATCAAGGGGTAAGAGGATAACGAGAGAGGTTCCATGCTATTTAGCAAAGGTGGTTAGCAAAGCCCTCCCTGGCAAGGGGTCACTGTAGCAGAATTAAGGAAGAGCATGATCCCTGTGACTCCCTGGGGAAGAGTGTCCAGGCAGAGAGAAGAGTGGGGCAAAGGCTCTGAGGTAGGCATGTGCTGGGGTGTTCCAAGACAGTAGAGGCCAGTGTGGCTGGACTGATGTTCAGCAAGGCACCCTAGGTTTCTAACCAGCCATGGGGAAGTTCCCCTTAGATTATTTTGCCAGGAAAAGCTGTTTTTCTACAACTCATATGGATACAGAGATTTTGCAAATGATTATATGTTCCTCTTTGATCTGGGCACTAGGAAGTTCAAGAGATAAGTGTGATCCGATCTTGTAACTGCTACACACATCTAATGGAATAACTTTCTGCAACACACACAGACATATATACACATACACACACATACACGTGTGCACACATCTGTGCACATGCATGCACAGAGAAACACCACACACATATACACACACAGGTATACATATATAAAGGCATACACACATGTACAGGCATGCACACAGTTGTACACACATGTACACACATATACAAGTAGCACACATGCACATACACACCCTCTCCCTGACTTCCTGCTTCCCATTTGACCCCCATTTTACCTTTAACCTCATTTCTTTATCTATTTTGTTGCTTATACTATCATGTGGTTTTTTTAGGCAAATTATTTTTTAAGTATAATGGACTATGTTTTCAGTTAAGAAAATTAACTACAACTTTGCTTACCACAACCTTCTATCAGTAGCTCAAGTGGACTGGACACAAACCCTGGATCTCAAAGGCAGGTTCTTAAGAGCAGGTTCTTAAAGAATATGTGCTGAACTGCACAGTACAGAGGAGGAAATGCCCCCTCCTCTGGCTGAGCTGAAACTCAACAGCTTCAGCCCCAGCATCCATCACTCATCTTCCCGAGATGTCTTTGTTGTGAACAGAAGGCAGAACTTCACAGGTACATATGTATACCATGATGTCACAGGATAAGAGCATCAACTATTTGCCCTGGGGTCTGTTTAATTATTTTTAAAAATTAATTTTGATTATTACAGCTGATTACACCTCAGTGAGCAATGTAATTGATATTTTCTAATGTATCCCAAGGAACATTTTGTACAACACGCTTTTTGTTGTTGAAGGTTAAAGACTCCGTTATTGGTTTTTCCCTAAATATGCCCACATCATTAGTTCCTCCAGTGAGAAGGTTGCCATCTGGAAAAAGCAGCATGGAGACATTATTCAGGCACAAGTGCATGAAATTGGTGTTTCTATATCTTCTGTCTCTCTTCTGGAAAGAAGAGGCTTGTAATTAAAGGAGTTGGTAGTGGAGGAAACATTATTCATTTGGTGTTATTCCTTATCATGTCAGTGGCTGACAGCTCTGTAACACTGATAAATTGTTCCTTGGAGTGAGACATATGACAGACAATTCATAATTCCTCTTACCTATCTTCATTTTCAGTAGAAAATATTCTTTTCTTGGCAGGTGACTCAACTTTGAGGTAAGGCTTATAAGGTAAATGTTATTTCTTCTTCTTCCCTTTGAACCTCACCAATCTGTGCTGGGATTTAACTGGGAAATCACTGTCTCTGGCAGGGTGAAGGCCATGGACATTGCTCTGTTGAATAGATATAGAGATCTTTGGCCCTCCTTGAAACAACCAAAGATCAACTCAGGGTGTTATGGGAGCCACACCTTTGTATCTACCCACACTTCGGAGAAATCCAGGGTGTAAACTGTGGCCAGCCATTCTTCATAGCTGTAGACATGACTTTGCTCACTTGGTCAAGTTCAGACTTTCCTGTTTTGGGTTTAGAATTATATATATATATATATATATATATATATATATATACACATACTTATATAACATCAACAACCAGTGTTGACTTTTTAGTTTTGACAGATCACTGTGGTGATAGAAGATGCTAACATTAGAAGAAACTGGGTGATGTGTAGATGAGGGCTTTCTGTACCATTTTATTATTTTTCTATACATCTAAAATTATTCAGAAATACAAAATGTACTATCATCTGTTTTAAAAAATAAAGCACTAACAGAAAATTCACACAGGGGAGCTAGTGCCAAGGTGAGAAGGGGTCTGTAAGAGTGAAGCTGAAATGTGAGACTGAAAGTGGGTGTGAATTTGAAGCATGTGTGGAACAGTGTATTCTAAGTTGAAGAAGGTCACAGTCATCTTCAATGGGTTGTGGGGAGGCGTCTAAGGCAGGGCATGGACAGAGGCCTGAGTCGGGGATGTTGTGCTCTGGCTATGCAGTCATCATACCCATAGGTGAGGGTTAAGCAGGGTGGGGTGGTGCTACTCTTGGAGCTTAGATGAGAGGTTAGGGCCTTGGGGTGGTGGTGGCTGGCGGCCTATATTGTAGTTATACACACTTGCTGAAGCCTTTTATATCAGGCCAAAAGGAGAGAAGAGTGCCTTGGGTTTGGCAGGTGTGTGGTTCAGATGCCTCTGAACTACTCTAAAATGGAGATTTCTTGGTAGAATTATTAGGAACCAGAGCCAGAGGAAGAAGTTTGATGGTATAGGACCTCTTCTACCTATAAAGGGGGTCAGGAACCCCTCTGGGTGGAAACAGGCCCCTGAGCCTATGTCTTGTTCAGAAGGCTTGAGCTGTATGTTTTCCTCCCTCCTCCCAGGGTCAACTGTGCATGTGGCAACAGCTGACCTATGAAGGGGCCATTGGGATCCCAGTAGAGGAAAGAGATCCACATACTGTCCCTGACCTAAATCTTGGGAAGGTCATAAAGGAGCAAGGCCTCCACAAATCCCCAAACAAACTTACTGCACTGGAGTTGATTTCAACTCATAGTGACCCTATAGTATAGAGTAGTGAGCTCTGGTGGCATAATGCCTAAGGCATTTGACTGCTAACCAGAAGACTGGGGGTTCAAACCCACCAGTGACTCCTAGGAAGGAAGATTGGGCAATCTACTTCAGTAGAGATACTCCCTTGGAAACCCAAGGAGGGGTCACTATGAGTCGAATTGACTCAATGGCAGTGAGTTTGGTTTTTTGCTTTTAAAATTGCCCCATGGGGTTTCCAAGGCTATAAATCTTTACAGGAACAGACTGTCCCATCTTTCTCCTGTAGAGTGGTTGGTGGGTTCAAACCACTGACATTTTGGTTAGCAACCTAATGCTTAACAACTATGCCCCCAGAGCTCCTTAAGACCCCCATGGAGGAGGGCTATGTCTTAGTGTCCTCCATGTTTCTGTGGCTACTTCAAGTAGCTAAGCAAACTTCTAGTTTCTCTTTTCAGAGTCATATATTAGAAAGCACAAATGGCCCACAAAGGGAAGCCAGGGCCATAGAAGTGAACAAGAAGTTATTAGAAGCCAGAGTGTGACCCAATGGAATTTCTGAATACCAAAGACAAACTTTTGGCAAAAATGCAATGTCTGCCCTGGTAAGGACAGGAGAGCACTA